TGGTACTCCGCCATTTGTGTAACTTGCGGCAAATGAAGACTTTGGTGTCTTGTCATTAAACTGAAATTAGAACACAAATCGGGTAAGCCTTACAGGTCTAATGTTTTGTTTACTTTTTGAGCTGTCAGATTCAATTCAAGTCTACATGCAATGAGTAATCACATCTTTTGATCGCAAATTTGCCCGTATAAACCACCAAAACAAATTTTACACAACACGAATGAGATGATAAAAATCTTTCTGGTGTTAGCCAAAAAAGGTGACGGTTTACTTACTGGATCAACTGTTTTTGGATTCAAGATGTCGGACGGACGTTGCTTAGCTGCTGACTTGCATCGGGATGCGGGAACCTTCGCGGCGGACACAAGTTGTTTTGAGGCACCATCAGAGCTATTGAGACGTTTGCTGGTCGCACTGCCTCTCGGAGTTGGTGTTTTACTACTTTGGACGACGGGAGAAGGAGTTTTCTTACCTCTGGAAACCACATCGCTACGGTCACCATGTAGCAATGCAGAAGCCATTTTTCTTTTGACAAATCTCCACCTAACCAGGGGTAGGGTAGAATTAAAAGTGTTTGCATAATTATGCAGCGCGAGCAAAGGACTGGGGAAAGTGTGCAAAATGGCGGCGATTTTGGTGTCCGCCGCTTCTTCTCAAAAACCTGTGTGTATTTTGTTGATTTACACCCCACAAGACAAAACACGATTGAAAGACTATTTTCAGCGAGGATGCTGAAATTTGATGGAGTATTTGCACCGCCTTCGCAGCGGTAAGTTATATGAGACAATTTTATTTGACTCTATGGACAGCTGCATGGACCACTAATGTAGAGTCACTTTCGCCAAACGTCGTGGATACAGTGTAATGTTTTCTACTATCCATGACGAAATCAAAAGAAGAGAAAGATCATTAGTTTAATTGAATGGTTAAATATGGTTAAAAAATAGCTACAATTCATGAATTACCTTCAGCTTTGAAATTAGCACTTTGAATGATGTAAGCTTTTTTGTTTTTCTTCTCCCACTGCATTGTTTGTTCACCAGGGAGGTTATTCTGTACCATGTGACTGTTTTAATTTTGTGTTCTCTCACTTGGGTGGTTGTTGTTTGATGGAATCTACATGTACAATTCTGGTCAAAATGTTTGGGACACTTTGTGTTTAGGTGCGGAAGATGCAGTTCAAATTGACCCCCCTTCCCACCTTGGCAGTGTTGGGTGTTACAAGTCAAACACCTTTTATATATCTTGCACACGTTGAGGACCTCAACTTTATCCAGAGGGGAAAAGTCTTTTCAAGACCTTGTTTATGAGTGTCTATTACGGGTTAGCTGCAAATTCCATTTTTAAAAAAAGTGAAAAATTAGAGGTGTCCCAAAACCGTTTGGCCAGGATTGTAGATTCATCTTTTTAGTTTTAGGATTAATTAAATAATTATTACCAGCTGTAGTTTACCTTCCCTTCCTGCAGGAACAGTGACATCTACAGAACAAGAGTTTTCCCTCCTAAAAAATTTATTGCTACTCAGCTTTCAGCGGGGATAAAGACATTGTACAAAAATATTAAGAATCAAAAGAAAACCCATCACCAAGGACATGGTAAGAACCTCCAGAACCCAGGTATTTACAAAACTCAGACAGGAACATCCTATTTACATACTTACTGGGGAGGACATTAGAAAATACCCAGTACTACCGCAAAACTATGTGGAAGTGGGGAAATACCGACATACCGGTATCATGTTGAAAATTGACTAAATACCGATACTGCATTTATGATCAGTCACGCTTACTTAAAAATGTGTCCATCTCGCGAGTTTGTTTATCTCAAGCATGTATATGTTACAGTTCAAATTTGATTTCCATTTTATTTTGATTTAACTAAGGATGTTTCTCAATTTCCTTTGTTTCCTAGCCCTAATTTATGAATAATTGGGGCTGGTTAAAAAAAATTTAACTTGAAATCAAATCTGACTTGTAACTTATACACCAGCAATCAACCTCAGCCATTGCAAGAAAATATAAGAAGACCTCAAATTGATCAGTAGAAGCCTGGTTATTGGATTAGAGAGGATAGCGCAAATGAATGGTACCACAATACCGTGAAGGATCTGCTTTTACCGAATGCCCTTACCAAAGGGATGAAAAACCACATACATGTACAGTTACTGCAGGGCTAGATGATACTGCAATACCACACATTAAAATCAAAATTACCAAAATACTGCTTGAAAAAATGCTCAATATACTGCAATACCATAAACCCCCATGTCCCCCTCCTTTCCAGACAATACTATCCACATTATTTCCTTTTTCTAAATAAGTTGATCCAGGTCAGGTTTTGTACCTGCGCCTGGTGCAGGAACTTGTTCTTCCCGGACAGGTATTGTTAAGTTTCAAAATTACTAACCATAAAGCATCAGCTGGTAGTAAGGCAGTAAACGCTTATGAGAGCTTTGACTGTGTGTAAAATAATGCTAATTCAAGGTTACCAAATTGGTACGGTTGTCTATCTTTTTCTATTTCCAGGATCTCAGACGGATGAAGGTGGAAAATTTCAGCCGCATTATCCAGGTGCTATGTTAACCGTATCTGTCAATGGTTTGCTAAGCTTTCTTACACTGTAGATTGATTGTGAAACTGCATGGCTCCTGGTCTCTTATAATAACCAGCCCAGGAAAATCTATCAAAATTGTGAAGAAAAGCAATCATGATCGTGTACAAACATACTTTTGACACTCAGTTGGAAACGGTTTTCAAAGTGCTTCCAGTAAAATTGTAGTAATTATTTTCGTTAATAATTATTGTTTTTATGTCTGTAAGCTTTAAACACACCCATAAAGATACATATATCTTCCTTTGCTCCGATTTTATTAGGTTTGACATTTTTCTGACTGTCTGCAATGTTTTTCAGTTCCCTTGCTTGCTGGCAGGTACAAATTTGTTCAAGTGATTGGACAAGGACAGTCTGCAGTCATTATTTCCGCTGAGGTGAGAAGGCAACTGGAAAACCTGCTACAGTTACAGTACATGTATGTCTGGTAACAAAAACAACTGAGATGTAATAATAGATTACATGTTAATTTAGCTGTTGCATTTTGCCCTCAGAATTTTCAGTCCTTTTCATTGTGATTAGGGATTATGATGCTTCTCGTCATTAAAATATTTGTTGTTCATTACAACAGGATACCTTTCACCCTGATAAGCAACCAGTTGCTGTTAAAGTGATGAATATAGATTATGCAAGGCTTGGCGCTCAGGTGCTGTATGTAAACTTTAACATGAACATTGTACATGTTGTAGTAAATTTTTGTTTTTCCTTTGTTTTAAATAAGCAAAGGAAAAACAACAATTGAGGGAAGTGTGACGCCATATTACCATGGTAGCAAAACTTCTAGATCACAACCATAAGCAGTTAAAGGAATGATGACGGCAACGGCAATGACAACAGCAAAAAAGCAATACATGTAGGTATATATTCGCAAAAAACTCTTTTGCATGTGCATCACACGTTTTTGTATATTTTGTAGCCATCATTGCACATAATTGATAAAACTTCCTAATTTCATGCTCCCGCCTTACGAATTTCGTAGGTGAACACAGCACAAAAATTTTGTTTTTCTTTTTCTAAACTTTCAGTAGATACAGTCCTTTTCAGATTCAAATCTAGAAAATTCTGCCAAAATTTGACAGATTAACAGTGCAAATTCACTTTTTAAGTGACGTTTTAGGTTTGTTGTCACCCAGAAATTTTGCTACCTCTGTTTAATTAACTGAAATGAAAAACTAAGTGCAACATATGAAGCATACCATATGTCACTGTTAACAAAAGATATATGCTTGCATGAGATATTGAAAAAATTTTCAGATATCAGTTACTCGACACACTGTTGTCTGTTTTACTAAATTGTTGCAGTACCTAACCATGCACTGTTGTCAAATTAGAGCTTAAGTGTAATAAAGAACTTAAAGATGTTTTTGCATTTATGCTTGTCATATAATTTATGATCTTCTCTTTTCCAACATCCGCTTTACATATGTTTTCTTTAGATGGTATTATTGTTGTTCAGATTGAAACTAACTGCATGGCTGATTTGTCAAACCAACTCATGAGTTACATGTACCATCACAGTGACAACAGTGACAGTGTGTAGAGACGTTTTGGACAGATATCTGTTACCGGTACTATTGTTTTTTCTATCAATGTTACATTTTAGGAGACAGAATTTCTTAAGCAACTGAACAAGGCAGATGGCCTCAAAGTTTCCAGAACAGTCCAGCTGTTTGTAAGTACATAACCTAAATTGAAGGGTAGCCTGAAAAAAAAACCTAAATGACTTCATATAACTACCAGACTTTCTCCAGGGAGAGGAACAGTACAACCTTTCTAGGTTAACCATCTACTTTAAATAAAATTATTAGTGTTGTTTTGTTCCGTAAAAAAGTCTGTCTGTATAACTCATTGTTTTTAATTATTATTATTCCTGATATTTTCAGAACACTTTCAACTTTGACGGTCATTACTGCTTGGTCTTTGAACTTTTACGACCAAGGCCACTGCATCAATATTTTCAGGTGAGATTTTTATTTCTATATAACTGGTAGTTATATACAATGTATATAATTTATCTTCAAATGTTTAACAACCTGAGAATGATCAGAAAGTGGCAAAATGATCAATGAAATTTAAAAAGCAAAACCATAAATTAACTTTCAGGTCCATCAGTAAGGGCCAGGGACCGAAGATTTCCGCGGGCTACTAAGAACATGACCTTTGGCTATTTTCACTGCAAAGCCGAAGAAAAATAGAACCAAAAGAAATTCCTAATTGTTGATTCCCAGGCTACTCTTCGTATGAACCCAGAAACTTGAAATCTTAGCAACACCCCTGTACTTTTATGTATTCATTTATTTTTTTGATTACCTGGTGATTATCAACAATATTCAGTGCCTGTCCATGTCGTTTTCTTCAATTTTGAGCTGGTTGTGAATGGGAAAGCAATCAATTGTAGAGAAATTTGTATCCTAAAAAATAAATTCACATTTAATTTCCTCATCATGGATAGGAAAGCAGTCATGTATATTATGATCTCATTCAATATTGTTATTTATTTTTAGAGGTGTCAGTTTGAAAGTGAGGTGAGAACTGGATAACTTTTAAAAGGTTTTACCTTTAGCATTTATAAAAGTACAAATTATACATTGTAGATATTGTATGTAAGGCTCTTTCTTATTTTGCTTTTATTACCCAGTCAAACTAGGCCAAACTTTTCCTTACAAATTCCATTATTTGACGCGAGGATTATTTGAAAATTGACTCCATTTATTAAGCAGTTGTTGACCACTATAATTTTTGCATTCCTCAATGCATAGATGAGCAGTGAATTCACACATGAGGTGGGAAAAAATTCCTGCCAGGTCATTTTTCATTATGTTGATCTATAAATTTCTTCATAAAGGAATTAATTTTCATCCTTTCAAAAGTCTAAAAAAATAATCTAACACAATTACTGAGAAGTTGTTCAGAAGTTCAAAATTGGCTGCTTATTAAGCATGCAATAAAGTAGACATTTAAATTGTTTTGATGCTAGTAGTGGCAACAGTTACTTTCCTATCGAATCTATGGAGGTACACTTAACCTGATTTGACTGTAATTTTTTTGGAAGAACAGGACATGTCATTTGATGGGCCATCATTCCTTTTGTATACAATGTACATACATATTAAATAGCAGACATCTTCTGTGGTAAGAGGTATGAAATTATGACTTGGCTTTATTAATGGTCCTTTGTTAATTCTTTTGTATGACAGGAAACAAAACTCAAAGTTATAAGGAAAATAGCTTTACAAGTGAGTCTGTTTCAAATAAAATAACCTTTTGAAAGTGGCACCATTGTACATGTATTTCTTGGAACAGAGAGTGAAGATAAGCTGCAAAACCTGTGACTGTGAATAATTATTACTGTGAAGTGAAGTGCAAGAGGTAAAATGAGGGTTTACTTTGAGTGTTCAGTATACTTCCTGGAAAAAAAAGATTAATAGAAGATATGGCAGACTATGGTTGATAAAAGTATCCCCTGGCTTTTACAGTTTTAATTAATGTTATTTCAATGCCAAAATGATAATTATGTAATTTATTTGAATTTAAAGACATGAAAATTAGCGTTTTATATAACATTCATTATGTTAACAAAAACTCTGTGAAGTACAATTTTTTGGCATACATCAATCGATGTATATAGAAATCAGATTGTTTTGTTTAATGACACTATTTTAATTTGTCAATTTCAGCTTTTACAAGTTCTTGGATTTCTCAAGAGGTAAACTTATCAGATTCTGAGCCATTAATGTTAACTGAGTTACAAAAAAACATTGAAAAGTTGGCTGATGAAGAGATCAGAACTTCTGCAGTGTTTTAGGTTGTTAGCACTATATTAATTTTATTTATATTTTATTTAAAAGAGAAGATGGGATGAAGACAGTGAGCAAGTCTGCTGACAACATTTACAGACTGTACAGTTCCAATGGAACTTCTTATTCTCTGTTTTCATTGTAATTCAAGACTTGTTGAGCTTTTACACTCAAGAAAGATAACCTAAAGCTTTATAAATAATTATCATTTTCTTACACAGAGAGAATGTCATCCATGCTGACCTGAAACCAGAAAACATTCTTATTGAAGAAGGTTTGTAAATCACTGAAGACTTACTTGAAATAGATGTGTATTTACTTTTCCCTGTCAGATCAAGGGCAGGTATCGCATGGGGCCAGGTAACCAGGTGACTCCATCTCTCCAAGGCTTGAAGGCACATCCTGGGCACTTGTGACTGTCCTATTTATCATGTCATTTGTCAAAGACATACAGTTATGCCCTAAGAGAGACCCTGTGTCCCCTGAGGCTAGGTGTCTTCACCAAGCACTTAACCTGAGCATGATTGTGTAGGAAACTGCTTAGGCATGACTGACATCTACAGGATGCATGCAGGTCCTTACCTCAACAGCTGAGTCTACATGGAGGATGGCACACCTATGCTTGCATAAAGATATTTTTAGTTGATTTAGGTGATTTTCAGTTGTCGAGAACCCATCTCCTAGGGATTCCATCTTCTGCTAACAGCATGATAGACGTTCAGCACATTTTACAGACTTCTTTTCTTGCCAAAATCTGCTGCTTTTTTCATTATATGAACTTCCCTCCCTAGTTTCACTAAGACAAAGTGGAATGACTACTGGCTGGTAAAACTGGTTAAATTCCTTAGTTTGGCACTTCATTTTTATTGCTATGTTGATTAGGAGATGTATTGATTCATTCCAAGCATTAAACACTCTCTTAATGTCTCCAAATACCTTAACTTTATTATGTACGTTTGTAGCTACATTGTACAAGTGACAGTCATTTTATCCATAAAAAGGTGTTGTTGGTGTTTCATGTTACACATTAAATTTTGTTTACTTTCTGTCTACTGACAGTTTGGTCAAAGGATATCAGATTGGGGCTTATGTGTATCAGTGCTTTAAGACATTGATATTAAGCCTCAATCTGATGTCACTGGAATAAACTGACTGCACATGGAAACACTAGAAAACATTTGTGTTGATGTTTAGGTGAAGAAATCAAGATAAAAGTGATTGACTTTGGAAATGCAATACGATATGTTCATAGAGAGGTATGTTAGATCATAGTCACAATACCATGATTACACTGCATATTACATGATCCATCACTACTGTTCTTTTCATCCCTGCTAAAGGAGATGTACATTTAATTTGTTCTCAAACCTCTCTTGTAGATAATCCATAAGTATTGTATTGTTTTCTTATTGGGAATCTCTTGAGTGCTTTTATTTTTCAAACACAAATGACTGTGGGCAACATGTCAAACATGTCACTGTTTTTTGTGGGCACCTCGATCATGGGCATGATGGGCACCATACCATGGTCATTGTGGGCATTGGTTACCGTAGGCACTGTGGTCATTGTGGGCACTCTCATCTTCATGAGTACTGTAAAGATTGTTTGCACCATGGTCATTATGGGGAGTGATGGTCCTGAATGAAACCATGGTTACTGTGGTCACCATGTTCTTTGTGGACATTGTGGTCATCATGCACACCATGTTCATCATGAGCACTGGTCATCTGTGAGTATTGTCTTCATTGTGGGCACCTTGCTCATCGTGCATATTGTAGGCACTGTGGTCATCATTGAGTCTGTGCTAATTGTTGAAACTGTGATTATGGTCAGCTCTGTGTTTATCTTGAGTACCATGGTCATCATGGGCAGGTAGTCCTTGTTGGCCCTGGTTCATCATGGACACTGGTCATTGTGGACACTGTTGTCATTGTAGGCACTATTGTCAGTTTGGGCAACACGGTTGTCATGGGCACTACAGTCACTGTGGGACCAATTCTTATTGATGGCACCTTAGTCCTCTTGGGCACTTTTCGTGATGGCCACCTTGCCTAGTCCCCGTACAGCGTTTTCCCAGGCCCTCTCCGTCAATTCACTTCGGTGACGTATCCGGAGGCGAAAGGGCGGGAAACGCCCTCACATTTTCGCTTGGACCACATGACCCGAAACGCTTTGGCCACGCGGAATAATGAGGTCTAGGAACAAGGCAAATGGGCACCATAGTTATTGCGGTCATTGTTGTCATCGTGGACATTATCATAATTGTGAGCACCATGTTCATCTTGCGCAATTTAATCATCTTGGACACTGTGGTCATTGTAGCCACCTTGGCCCCACATTGACCATTATTACTGCATTATGTTATAAATTAATGACTTGGCAGCATAGTTAACCAAGTATTTTATCTTCTTTCCCTTGCAGGTTTCCCTTTATTATGATGAGTTTGATCTACAGACAATCATTTACAGAGCACCAGAGGTAAACAATGGAAATTAATGGCTCCTAATAATTAACTGATTACCCATAGTAATTTCTTTATCCTTATAAATTTGAAGGCGCTGCAGCGTTATTTCGATGATTATTTTTCAAAAAGAAACATCGCTTTTTCAAGGGGGAAACATGTTTATTCACTGCTTAATATCTCTATGAAAAGCTGTTTATAGTTAAAATGTACTAGAATAGGTGAATACGTCAACAAGATGTTGTAGGTAGTAACATCCAAAGTGAACTTTTAGTGTTGCTCTTTTAACAATAAAGCCACAGATGTAAACGAAATTTTGTTTAGGAGTCACCGACATTACTAATAATTATAATAATTTACATTTATATGGCGCAAACCTCTATATGAATATATTTGGTTGCGCTTTACAATATTGTTATATTGAATTTATTTTAAAGGTGACTAAAGCGTGAGAAACTATTAAAACTACAATAAAAAGTATTAAAAACTATAAAAAAAAAACCTACAATAAAAGCCAAAAATTAAATCTATTTAAAGCTAAATTAAAAAAGTGAGTTTTAACAGCAGTCTTAAAAGTGTCCAATGTCTTCATGTTGCGAATAGCCGAAGGTAATGCATTCCAGAGATAAGGTGCAGCTGACTGGAGAGAGATGTTAAGACAGTTTTTCTATAAAGATCCCGTTAGCCCACAAGAATCCCTTGCATTTCTAGTTTGTTTTAATCAAGGTCGTGTTGCATTCTCCACAGGTGATGTTTGGTGTCCCTTTTGGGCAGGAAATTGACATGTGGTCCGTCGGATGTATTTTAGCTGAGGTGAAAATTTTTTTCATTAAATCCAAACTAGAATAAAAGATTCAGGATACAGTTTCTGCCTACTGGTACGGGTTGGCAAACATGTATCATCGTTCTACCTGGAACTCTAGCTGACGGGTATGGGACAGTAATGTAACCCTATCTGTACATACAAGTCAAATTCGCTACGTTCGAGTTCGCTACCAACATATTCGTCTCGCTGCCTATTGGCAAAGTCCAATACTTGCACCCTTGGAGGGGTAAGCTTAGAAGAACGAGAAATATATTAAATATATTAGACTTTTTTCGAGAGCGAATCAAAGAATATTTTCAGTTGTTTACAGAAAGTAATATGTAGCGAATTTGTTGCGAAGTAGGACGTAGCGAATTCGACAAGTAGCGAAACCGGTTGTTACCATCCTCAGGCCCCAGTTCAATCAATGGATAGCGCTATCCATTGAATAAGTATTAGGAAAACCCATTGCCCTATCCACTTGATAGAAATATATCCACTGGATAGCATTATTCTTCTTTTTAACAACGGGGGCCCAGCCTGTAAGACAGATGTGCTGTGACTTGTTGGGATGTTTGATGAAACACTAGAAGCCTTGTTTCAGGAGAATTCTAGACTACGAGTAGTCCCCCATTTTTCCTCAGGGATAGTAGAGCGAGCGAAACGCGAGCGCGCGAGAAAATCACTCCACGCGAGAAAGGGCGACACGCGGAGGGGAGATTTTCTCTCATTTTTCTCTCTCCCCGCCGCGTGTCGCCTTTTCTCGCGTGGGGTGATTTTCACGCGCGCTCACGTTTCGCTCGCTCTACTATCCCTGAGGAAAAATGGGGGACTACTTGTAGTCTTGGAGAATTTTGTCTAAGTCATGCACCTTGTGTTGTTGCTTCAAGTTTTAAACTCTCCTATCGGTGTTAAAGGAGGCTGGACAAAATTTTTCAGAGCGATTCCTTCCAAGTTTGAGCATTTACTACGCCGAAATGATTTTCATTGCAGAGAAAGCGGCTGCAAGTAACATAGATAATTATTTCGTCGCTATGACAACTCAGATGTCAACATAACACTGGTCATAACAAGTTTTCATCATTTTCTGATAATGTAGTAAGTGATCGTTTTCCTATATCTTTGTTAATAGCGACGTACTTAATGCTCAAACTTGGGAGGTATTGGCCCTGAAAATCCATTCAGATTCTTCTCCAAGTTACAGCCGTACGTATCTAATAACTGCGTGTTCTCTTTTTCTAGTTGCACATTGGCAAACCCCTATTTCTAGGACGAACCAAACCTGAAATACTGCAAGTGGTGAGTAATTGATCTACTATGTCTGTAACATGCAAAAACAGCCTCAACTCATCGGACCCCGCCGCTCTCTGGTCACTGTATTGGACTATTGTAATTGTCTTTCACCTCGTTTGAATTAGGTAGACAGAATAGCCCAATTTATACTTTCTGGTGGAACCGTGGTTGAAGTTGGCCTTAATTGATGCAATTCTTCCTAAAGGTGATGCTACACGGGACGATACGCAACGACGACAGACAGACACAGCGTTGCAATGCTGGAACAATGTTGTAACCATTCGAAACAATGTCGCAACAATATTGCAAAGCTGTGTTGCGCTGAAAATCGTCGTTGCGAATCGTTTCGTGGAACATCACCTTTAAGCTGAAAAGGAACCAGTGGTCGCTTAATGAAGGTCCTCTTGCCGCGAAGAAGAATGTGTCCCAATAACTGGAGGTTACTGAATAGAGGCTCGATTGTATTTTTTTCAACATTTTTATAATAAAAGTAGGAGGGTTTGTATCACAACAGTCAAACCAACCACACAATGCAAACTACCCCATTACCAGAGACCTCCTTTGCAACTCCCCCAATGGATGCTTTGAGTTCCTAGTTTATCTTTCGCCAGTCTTGAGAAACTGCGTATTTTCAAAGAATCTTTACTTTGTAGTTATACTTTCACATGGCTTCTTACTCAGGTAACCTCCATCCTGGGTCCCTTACCGAAGAGTCCTTTCCAGTCCGGCAAGTTTTTTCCAGACTTAGCAGAATTTGTTGCTCAAACTCCAGGTAAGTTTCATGTCAGACGTGAAAAAGGCAGCGTGACGAAATTTGGAGTAACCCAAAAATGTGTTCGCAGCAATGAAAACGTCCCGTGCTCTTAGCGTTCCGTTTTATACCAGCTTTGAAGTCGCGTTTATATACCCCTGTAAAAAGTGTTTGGTTTTGTTCGAAAACACCTCATAATTGCCTTGCCTTTGACCACGAATAAAGACGCGGTAAAGGAAGGACACTTGAAAGGAAAGATTAACCGTTTTCCAGTGGCGCCGTTAGAGAAATTTACAATCAAGTTTACGGCAAACGTCAATTCCAAGGTGACAGTTGTTCAAAATAGGAAGTGAACAGATAAAAAAATGTACAAACTAATTCTTATGGATGAAACTGGCGTAAAAATACTAACTTTTTTGTGAATGTAATGAACAAACAACTGGTTAATTATAGGTAAAGAGAAACTTGGTCACGTGGTACAAATTGATGTTTGACGTAAACGTGATGTCAAATCTCTCCATTGTGACACGTGAAAATCGTTAAAAAAGATACCTGTGACTTTCTTCATTTTCCACGAAATCACTTAAAATCGACCTTCTTATTATGGGAGTCTTTTGTGTATCAGCTCTCACTCCTGGAATGAATGATGTGTTGTAACGGGAATTAAACGAGTCCTGTTTACGGTATTTTTACCAGGCCTGGGTCTTGTGGAATTCCCGTCAAAAAACCGGCCCTTTAAAGCCAGGACGATACGCTCATGGTAACGCACAAAAATGGTTCGACCCAAACAGAGGCTTTAACTAAATAATGAAAACGAGATCATTGCCAAATTTTTAGAGGACAAGGAAATACTCAAGGTTTTATCCAAACTTTTTAAGTTGATATGACTTAAAGTAGCGCCTACACATCTATTGGTGATCTTTTAAGCTACTTTCGCTTTCCTTGGTCTGGTAATGGCCTGACCGCCTTCTTGGGGTACAAAATCGACTTTCATAGGGTCGTACATGGAGTACAAACTACACACTATTTTGAGTCTAACTGTGGCATCTAGTTATTCCTTGCGTAAATTAATTTGGGTATCATATAGTGTGGAAAGGCTTATTACCAGGATGTGATGCGTCACCTTAATTATGCGACTAAAGTTTCATGGACCAATCATGTTTGCATGGGGCTCAGTTCCACTGCAGTTTCTTCAGACTTGGTGAAGGGAATTGCCGTGCTGTTGTCCCTTTAGGGACTGTTTACATGGAGGTGGAGGACCCCAGGTAGGTGGGGTAACCCTCCAGTCCATATAAACTCTCAAATGGTCACCCCACCTATCACGTAAACGTGATCACATTAAAATAAGAGATTATATGAACAGGCGGGTTACCCCACCTAAGCTTGTCAACTCACCTACCTGGTGTCTCCCACCTCCCTGTAAACAGGCCCTTAAAAAGTGGCAGTAGGCCAGCAAAAGGAGTTAAACTTTCTCTATTTTTTTCCTGCTTTCAGAAGCCAACCAGCTCCACCTTGTAACTTCCGTAATGAAAAATGTACTTCATTCACGGAATTTTGCCTTTGCTAGTTTTCTGGTTGGTTTGCTGCAGTACAAGCCAAGTAAGTGTGGCTGTTACTAGTAGCATTGGGCAGACCTCGTGACCCTAAAACGAATACTGGTTTGCAGTCCGGAATAATGAGGGCTGGGGACGAGGCAAGGTAGCAGCCAGGCTGGAAATGATGTTGTTTTGATAAATTCCTTCCTAATTTCTTATGAAAATGATGTCCATCTTTTCTTACTATTTTTGAATATAATTTGCATGAGAAAAGCTGGTATATTTGTATCAAAACAATGTGAACCAAAGCACTCATTCACTGTAGTAAGGTGGGCTACTCGCACCATGTAAGGGAATCCAGATTCCGGAATCCGGGAAAATTTTGCTTGTTGAATCCGGAATCTTTTCTTTTGTTTTCTTTTCTCAAGACGCTTTTTAGCTAATGGCGCTTGCCAAAAGATAGGACTGGCCAGCGCGACGGATCATTATTTATTAAAAATGCAATTGATTTTTTTTATTTTTTTCGAGAGTTCTCCTATGACTGTTGTGAGGCTTTTTTTAGGAACAGATTGATCTGGCTGGATGGTCTTTTGAAATTAAAGGGAATGGAGAGGAGAAGTCGTTTCTTCGCCTTGCCATGGTAGCAAAATTTCTTGTCCTCAACAAACTGTTTCCTGCAAAATTGACGTGTATGACTTTCCTGTGGTATAATTGTACTTAGGAACAAAACGGTAGCCCATGCATGTTTTTTCTTTCACCCTTTCGACAATGCCAATGACCGTCCCTGTCAAACAAAATTGTTGACATACAGAAATTTTGCCATCATGAGAACGTGATATCACACTTCTCTCTCTACTCTGTACGACTTAACTGTTCTGACAGTGATTGGTTTCAATTTAGGAGTCATTTCATAAGTGGGTTGAGTATGATCGTGTGGGTAGTCCTGTGTAAGACTGTTGATGACAGTGACCGACGTTTTGCCAACCTTTGCGATAGTCATTTTCAGAGTCTGAGTGAGCTGTATTACGTTTAATGGGGCAGCACCCAAAGGGTTGATTTCCAGTTTCGTGTAATTCTTACGTGCGTACGTGCACAAAATTTAAGTTCGCAAATAAAATAGAGGCAATGCATGAAAGGTCGCTCGTAAGCGTAAAAGTTGAACCTCGCTCACCTTCTCGTTTAAGCTCAGCAGTTTTCGTCTTGCCTCTATTTTATTTACGTGCGTTAACGTGCGTAGCTAAAAACGCGCCAGTAAAAATCAACCTTAAGTTTAGTTCTTGCGTAGTTAGACAATTGAACTGTATCTTTTTGTGATGTAGGTGAACGGCTGTCGCCGTGTCAAGCAGCTATGCATCCGTTCTTGGCTCCAGATTTACCATTTTGTTATTTGCTGCCACAACACGGAGATAAGCTCATAGGTTTGTGGTTTGTTCTATTATCACTGTCATAATAAGTAAAGGTACAAAACTTTAATATGTACTGACGTGAGTGTTAGCAGCCTGAAGTGAAGGGTTATTTGATGTATTTGAATAAAAAAACTCAAAGTTAACGTGGATTTCCACTCTCGCGTAGTTTTTACTTGCGTAACCACGTAACTTTTACGCGCGTCATTAACATAACGGTAAGCTTTAACATAAAGGAAAGTTGAGTGAGGTTTTATTTTTGTTAACGCGAGACCTTTCATTCACTGCCTCTAATTCATTTACGCCCGTAAAATTTACGTGCGTACGCAGGTAAAAATTACGCGACGATGAAAATCCACCTTAATTCGCGTTTGCACATCTCCCATAATACGCCTTGTTTGACGCCCAAAATTATGCATAACCTTTGTTTTTCTTTTCTCCTGGGTATTAAAGTTGTCCCAAGAAAAAAATTTAGTGGGGGGGGGGGGGGGGAAAAAGGGTTTTTGGGGGGTTTGGAAAAGAAAAAAGAAAAAAAGCCCCGCAGAGGGACGCTTACAGGTTGATTTTTTTTTTTTTTTTTTTTTGTATCTTTTTTTTTGTTTTTCCCGTGTTTTTTCTTCCTTTG